CACTGCATGACTCAAGGCCAGTCTGTCCTGAATGCAGTACAAGCCAGTCTTCGAGTAGATGCATGGAAATGAATGGGACTTCCGTTCAGCTAATGTTGGACAGAGACCCTTGACTGCCTTCCCATCGGTTGCCAGCCAAGCGGCGGCACGCATGAATAGCCCCTTGCCTCCACAGCAGCAACTCAAGAATTCTGCCCCTGTTGAAGCCTGCGACAGCCGTCCAAAACATTTTCACCAGCCCATCTTCACATGCTGTCTTTCGAGGAAGAGGAGCATGTTTGCTTCCAGAGGCAGGAGTGTGTGCTGCCCCCTAGGCATGGCATGGGCCTGCCAGCATCTATTTTTAAGCCCAGCTGTGGCAGAAGCAATGACTCAAAAGTGACAGCTTGGCACCCTGAGCTCTGGAGCGACACTCCCAGATCTGAAGGCGCTCACATTGGCAAGTTGAAAGGCGGCTGCTCATCTCGCGGCCAGTGCTGCCAGCTTGTCCTGGCATCCAAATATACACTCATGCCTGGAATAATAGAGTCTGCTGTCACCACCAAATGCCACTCTGAAAATAATCCTCGCAGGAAGTTGTGCATTACGCAGGCAGTTCTAAAAGGAGCAAAAGCTCACCTAGCCACCCAACAGCAAACAGTGGTCGATGTAGCCCAGTCCCCCAGGACCCTGTGAAATCAGCACAGTCCTGGACAAGGAATGCTTCCATCTGTGGGTGCTGACTGTTTAAGATAGTGGCCAAGCACCCATCAAGTTTCTTCAGAAAAAAAAAATATTTCAGTGGCTTTTTTCCAGGAGGAAAGGAACATGGCTGGAGTTGATAATCTGCCGTCAAATGGATACACGCATTTGATGATACAGATGATGAAGAGATGCATTGCAGAAACAATAGTAGTGGCCAGGTTGTAGCCTCCAGAAGTTTTGGCCTACAATTCCCAGCATCCCTCACTATTGACTAGTCTGACTAGGGCTGTTGGGAATTGTAGGACAAAGCATCTAGAGGGCCACAAGTTCCCTGCCTCTGCTTTAAATAGTTTATCAAACCAAGAGTCATGCTTCCATTTTGTTGTTGCTGCTGCTGTTGTGGTTACGTGCTGTCAAGTCATCTCTGACTTATGGTGACCCTAGGTATGAAAGCTCTCCAGAAAGGTCCATCCATGCCAGCCCTGCTCAGGTCTTAAAAATCCAAGGCTATGGATCCAGTCCATCCATGCTTCCATTGTATTCTCATTTCCTGATGTTTGGTGATCCAAAGGTAGTTCTGCTGGTGGCACATGGTAGTGTCAACCCATCCAAGTTTCCAAAGTGAGAAAAGAGGGCTGTAAGACAAATGTCTCTGCTGCTCATAACTCAAGTGATGGTGTGTTTGTTTTCTGATTAAAGCAGCTTGATGAGCCATCTTTTCATTCAGTCTCATGGATGCTTGGGATGGCAAAGCTTTTTGTCCACCAGGAAAGCAGTGGATATCCAAGAGGAACACCCAAGCATCACCTGTGACCATGCTTGGGGAGGGCACTCCAAATGAGGCACCTCTTGATTCCTGCAGAGCTGCCTTGCAGTGACAAAATATCTAGGGTTGATCCTGATCTCCATCAGCGACCTGCAGGAGAAAGAAACATGAATGCCACGTAGTTCTCTCTTGGTCTTTGCTAGCTTCTCTCCTAGCCCCAGATGAAATTGTCCAAGCCTTGTTGTTCTGAAATTTTAAATGTGCCATCACTGAGCATTTGTGCAAACACTGGTGTTCAGGCCCTATAAAAGCACAAGGATCAGCTACATGGTGCAGAAACTGGTTCACATTCCCTGCCACTGGACTATAAACGAGATCCTTGAGTGCAGTGTTCCAGAAACCAGGTATGCAGCATCCAATGAAATCCAAAGGAGCATAAAGACAGAAATGCATGCTTAAATGACACAGAAATCACCGGGGTGTACTGTAGCTGCACTTAACTTTCTGTACATGGTGCCTTACAGTTCAGATGCACGGCAGAAACCAGCAGCAGCCATGCGTAACAAAATCTCCAGTTTGTCTACTGGGAGTCTACTGGAGTCAACCTCAGTTATAGGGAGCTAGGAACTGGCTTTTGGCATAGTCAGACCATTGATCCATCTAGCGCAGGGCTGTCTGTGTCAGCCTTCCCCAGCCTGGCAGCCTCCTGATGAGGGAGATGACAATTCTAGCATGCCCCTGCCAGGGTGGTCTAAACTGGCTGGCAGTTGAGCTTCAGCATTTCAATATGGCTCTTTCCAGTCCTACCTGAAGAAGCTGGGGAATTTTCTGCATGCAAACATGCACTCTGGATCAGTCACCAATGAATACAGTCCAAGCTACTGTTACCTGAAGTCTTTTAGAGTACAAGCCTATGTCTCTAGGTCCCACAACTCCCAACATGCCCCAGCCAGTCCTCAGATAATTTAGGTGTTACGGATTTCCAGCCATGATTGGGACATATTTATTTAGACATTTCTGTTCTTTTTCCCCAGGAGGCTCACTAAAAAGATCACAAACAGTTAAAATTAAAGCAAGATTAATATGAAATAGGCATTGATCAATACATGATCAATGTATATATCACAGGAGGCAGCCTGTGAGCATGATCAATGAGCATGATCAACGCATATATCACAGGAGCCAGCCTTTATAGTCCAAACCAGGAGAAAAAACAGCCGGTCATAAAAAGCTTAGGTGAACAGGCCAGTCTTTACAAGGCATCAGAAGGTAAAGGGGAGGGGGTAATATGAATCCCCTGAGGAAGTGAGTTCCATGGATTAGGCATCACCACAAAGAAGGCCCTGTCCTATATACCTATCAACCTAATTTCAGGTGATGATGGAAAAAATGAAGCAGAATTTCTTCAGCAGGATGACAGAATGAAAAGAGAGCAAGCATTCCTTTGAATACCCAAACCTTCTGTCACACAGTGGCAGCAGCATTCTATAGCAGTTGTGCAGAATTATCATGTTTATTATAAAAATAAACATAGCATGATCTGGATATAAGTACAGCACGTGTGATAACTAAGCATGTGCGACCTGGTTCTTGTGGCCACAGCCAAAACTCACCCTGGGTGGTGCACTAAGCAGAGCTCCGTAAAGGCACTTTGCAGACATAGCCACACCCTAGCCATCCTGCACCAAGCGGATGCCAGCAGGTATCCCAGAGAGCTCACCTGTGCCTTCAGAAGGTGTCCTCTCTCATGAAGAGCCTCATCCTCATTCCCAATGTGGCTTTCCTCCTAACCAGAAGCCTCTCCGTTTTGTCTGGATTAAATTTCAGCTTTTCTGCCCGCCATGGGCTCAGAACACTGGTCAAGGGTTTCCGCTGCTTCCTTGGCATAGGATGGAAGTGAGAGTAGAGCTTTTTCTATATATCTGTGACTCTATATACCCAGATGACTTCACTCAGCAGTTTCACATGGACTGTAAATCCTGTGGACGACAAGACAGAGCCCTGTGCCCATAAGTCAAGGAAACCACCAAAATTACCCTCAGCTCCAGTTTCTGGAAGCTGCTATCCAGAAAGGAATAGAACCAGCACAAAACAGCGCTGCTTGCTCCCAACCTGGCATGGCTGCCTAGAGGCTGATGGTACTAAAAGCCACTGAAGAGCCAGCACACTAATAGGGACCGTGTCCTTCTGCTGAGTCCCTGGCATAAGTCATCTACCAGAGCAACTAGGACAGTTTCATCCCTCAAGACAAGTTGGAAACCAGTCTGGACTGGCTCAGAGAATTTGACTCACCCGAGGCCATCTGAAGTAAGCCACCAGAACACATGCTCAGACTATCCGTTTGATGCTGAAGGTATCTGTCCGAGTGTTGGTTCAGTGCTGGTTCCAGATTTTTGGGGGCCTGGGGCAAGACAGCCTCCACGGGCCCTCCCTCCACCTGCTGCCTTGGCACTGTCTGGGCCACCAGCTCTTGTAGTTCTCTGTGCTGGTCCTCACTGCTGCACCCGCTCGCTTGCTGGACAGGTGGAGAGCCAGTGGGCAAGCGGGCCTGGCATCTCCTGCCCCTGCTCAGCAGCCCTGCCCCTGGCTGGGCTATAGCAGTGGGGAGGCAACAAGGCAGGGCGCCATGCTGGAGCGGCTCTTGCCACTGAGGCCCTGCGGGGTGCAGGCCCTCAGCAGGGCTCCAGCCAGGCCTGCCTCAATGTGGCCCCACATGAGGGGCGTGTCCTGAAGCGTCTCGCTGTTTCCGTCCAGGCTCCGCTAGGTGTTTGCTTGAGCTCCGACTTGGCAGCCCTCATGATATCCGTGACATTCTGCCTGTGTAAGTAAAGCATGGAGTTTTTCCGAGTCTCATATTTCTGAGCAAATTGCTTCTAATTATGGATCCTTCATGGATTCTTAAAGGTCGTTCCATTATTATCAGGAAGAAATTCAGTGACACCCTTCTCCAAACCTCCTCCCTACTCTGCTTAGCACTCCTTTAGTTTCCCTGCCAGTTCCCTGAATATCTTCACACTCAGTGTTTTAGTCTGAGTGGTGGGAGAACAAATGGAAGGCAACATCATCTGGACCCCCTCCCCCACATCATGCAGCTGGGGCGGGGGTGGACGGAAGGTGGATCTCCAGATGTTTTAGATTTCAGCTCCCAGAAGCCCCTGCCAGCAAGGCCAATGGTCAGGAATGCTGGAAGCTGCAGTCCAAAATATCTGGAGATCTACTTTCTGCCCATCGCTGTGCTATGATGCCCTTACCGCCGGGGAACTTTGATCTGCAGGAACAGTTGTGTCGCTGTAGCACACACTCACATTGTTCTGGGAATCCTGGCATTTTGAAAGAACGTTCTCCTTTGAACACCCTTGAAAAAAGGAGAGCTGGGCGATGGGACTCTTTTGCAAAGCTGAGAGCTGTGTGAAGTTGCAATATGATCCACCTGTTGAGGTTTCCAGTGTATTTATAGACATAGACATGTTGTCACCCTTGTTTTCTTTTGTCTTAGGAATGCGAAACATTTGAGAAGTGCTGTCCTAATGTTTGTGGAACACGGAGCTGTGTTGCGGCCCGGTACATGGATGTCAGGGGGAAGAAAGGACCTGTTGGGATGCCCAAGGAGGCGACCTGCGACCGTTTTATGTGCATCCAGCAGGGCTCGGAGTGTGACATCTGGGATGGGCAGCCTGTTTGCAAATGCAAAGACCGGTGTGAAAAGGAGCCGAGTTTTACCTGTGCCTCCGACGGGCTCACCTATTACAACAAGTGCTACATGGATGCGGAGGCATGCGCCAAGGGCATAACGCTCAACGTGGTGACGTGCCGCTATCACCTGACGTGGCCCAACACCAGCCCCATCCCGCCGGAGACTACCGTGCACCCCACAACCACTTTTTCAGAGACTACGATCACGGACATCCTTGCCCCCGCACTGGTCAACAACCCGGCCCATCAGTCTGTCTACGTAGGAGAGACGGTCAGCTTTCTCTGTGATGTCACTGGGCGGCCAAAGCCCGACATCACTTGGGAGAAGGAGACGGAGGGGAATGAGAAAATCATCATGAGGCCCAACCATGTCCGTGGGAACATTGTCGTCACCAACATAGCCCAGCTGGTGATCTATAACACGCAGCTGCAGGACGCCGGCATCTACACCTGCACTGCCAAAAACCTTGGCGGCGTCCTCAGGGCGGATTTCCCTCTGTCGGTCCTCAAAGGAGACACCTCTTCCATGGGAGCAGCAGAAAATAAAACCCACTTCCCGACAGATGAGTGTCTGAAGCAGCCTGACAGTGAGGACTGCGGTGAGGAACAGACCCGGTGGTATTACGACGCAAAGAAGAACAACTGCTTTACGTTCATCTACGGAAACTGCAACAGCAACCTCAACCACTTCGAGACGTATGAGAACTGCATGCTGACCTGCATGAACGGGCCCATCAACGTTTGCAACCTGCCCGCGCTCCAGGGTCACTGCAAAGCCTATGAGCCCCGGTGGGCGTACAACAGCCTGACCAAGCAGTGCCAGTCCTTCATCTACGGAGGCTGCGGGGGCAACGAGAATAACTTTGAGAGCAGAGAGGCCTGTGAAGAGATGTGCCCGTTCCCCAGGAACATGCACTGCAAGGCGTGCAAGGCGTGCAAGCCACGCCAAAAGCTGGTGACCAGCTTCTGCAAAAGCGACTTTGTCATCCTTGGCCGTGTGACTGAACTGACTGAGGACCAAGACTCGGGACATGCCCTGGTGACGGTGGAAGAGATCCTCAAGGACGAGAAAATGGGGCTCCGGTTCCTGGGGAGAGAGCCTCTGGAAATTACCCTGCTGAACATGAACTGGAGCTGCCCATGCCCCAACGTAACCGCCGCGGACGGCCAGCTCATCATCATGGGGGACGTCCACAACGGGATGGCTGTTCTGCAGCCAGACAGCTTTGTCGGGGCCTCCAGTGTCCGGCGCGTCCGGAAGCTTCGCGAGGTCATCCACAAGAAAACCTGCGAGCTCCTAAAGGAGTTCCTAGGACTGCACTAATACCTGCTTGTACCATGCCAGCTTTCCCGCGTTGTGTATTATATAGCGCTAACAAAAGGTAGACTAGCTTGAAAACTTCCTTGAAATCTCTTTGGCTGATAGGTGGTATGTATTACGCAGAAGCTGTATATTAATTGATTAATGAGGCGTAGTAATGTGGCAGAAGCCTTCTTGGCAAGCACTTAAACTTGTGGCAAGCAGTTATTAGTCTTTAGGTTTCAAGCTATCTATCTGTCTAGAAAAGTCATCTAGCGATTATCACAATGCAGCTTTCATCATAAAGACCAAACTCACAGCATTTGCTTTGGTTCCGTGCTAAATCTCATGCACCATCACCCTTGATGGTAACTGCTCACATTTGGAATATAAATTTGGACTTTTTCAAAAAAGCAGCTGAAATGTATCATCACACCCATAAGTAGTTGCAAGACAAGGATATGTAAAATATTGCCTTCTTAAATGACAATTATACCAGTTCAACCAACCCACTGCAGAATTGGCGCCTTTAGAATGGTCTCCTCAATGCCTCAGTAGAAATAGACCTATGCCCAATCTAGCCAAATTCACACTGAAGTCATTTGTGAAGTGTCCTCAGTGTATTTATTAGGCAATAGTTACAGGGACAACACCAAAGACATCCTGTTTCACTGCACTTTCCCACTGTGCAAATAAATGTGCAAAATCTACTACTGAAACTCCCTTTATGTGAGGTGGGCATTATCTGCCTGCCATTTTGTATCTCAAAGACTAGAATAATGATTTCACTAATGTGTTTTTATATGTTTTGTTTTGTTTTAATGTGTTTTTCTCTCTCTGTGCCCAAAGGGACAAAAAAAACTTTGCAAACCTTACAGAGCCTTTCCTAGGAACAAGTTGGGAAGAAGGAGAGATCGAGACCTTGTGTGCACCAGTGAAAGCAAGGACTCTTTTCTTGAAAGCGCTGTCTGGGATGCTTCCGCAAAGCTTGTTTATAGGGCTTCAGCACAACCTTGTTAGCATCATCACTGAACTGTTGTCTTCCTGTCTTTTTCCATTGTGTCCTCCATGTCTTTTGAGGCCACAGGAAACCCCAAGTGTTTCTTTAAAGGAAATAGTCATAGACTCGGGGGGTGGGGTCTTGTGGGCCACCTTGTTCAGCCCTTTGCTTGATGCAGGAGATACTGAGCTAGAGCTTCCTCCAATGATGGTCCCCAGCAAGGGAGAGCCCAAGACCCTGTATGTGACTGTCTGGTCAAATTGCTTAGGGTCTTGTTTTTTTTAAGTTCAGCTGAAAACTCCCTTCCTGCAGCATAAAACCATTGGACCAAGTCTTGCCTCCTGAGGCACCCCCTTCTGCCTGACAGTCCTTCTCGGATCTGTGTGCTGTTGTGACCCCCTCTCTCAAAGCTTCTCTCCTGGCCAAATGGCCCAGTTCCTTCACCCTTTCCTCACAGGATTTGTTTTCCTGAACCTTAACCATTCCCTTTGCCTTCCTCTGAACCAATTCCAATTAATCTGCATCCTTTTGAAAAATGTGGCCCCCAAACTGGACAAAGTACTGGATGAGGTCGCACAATGCAGAGCAATAAAGTGGAAGTAATTCCTCTCATGATTTGGAATCTATGGTTCTGTCCATGCAGCCTCAAACTGCATTAGTTTTTGTTGGCAGCCGCATCACCCAGTTGGCTCATGCTCAGATTGACTAGAATCCCAAGATCCTTTTCACACATACTCCAATCAAGCCAGCATCCCCAGTCCTATGCCCTTAATTCCATGGCTGCACCCAAATGCAGAACTTCACACTTGGATTTCATTTTGTTGGTTTCATTGTGTCCAGTTTCCCGTCACATTGAGGTCATTTTGAACGGCATTGCTTTCTGCTGAAGTGCTCACTAACCCTCCCAGAGTGCCTGTGGACCAAGGCCTCTACAGCTGAAAAGGAAAAGACAACTATCACATCTTCGGATTTCTGTGTCAAGAATAGAAATAAAAAAACACAAGAGGGTTGCAAGTGGAGGACGAAGTCATTTGGGGCCCTCATAAAATTCAGTGAATGAGACAAAACTGTGGCATGATGAAAGCCTCATCTGGAACACCTTCGGTTTTGTGTCATCTGCAAATCCAATAACCATTCCTTCTACCCTTCATCCGGGTCCTTGAGAAAACTAGTGAAGGACTTGGGGCCCGAGACAGCCCTGTGGGCCTCACTTGAAACCTTCCAGTGTGGTGATAAGCCCCTGGTCATGGCTCTTTGGAGTTCGGCCCTTTCCTGACCAGCTACCAAGTGCCCCGACAGAATGGGACAGTGGCATGATCTCTGACAGGGAGAACTGCAGCACCTCTACTCTTCTGTTTCAGTTAAGAGACTTGGTTTTGACGTATGTGGCGGTGTACCAGGCAGGCTGACCTGCCAGCATCTTGGCCATTTCCAATGGGCCAGGCATCTCTTGCAGCTAAAGCAACAAAGAGGTTTGTGACCACAAAGAGGAACTAATGCATCCCAGGAGAAGATTTCTGCACTACAACCTCCTATGTGCATCTGATGTGAGCCACAAAGGTTTATGGCAGAAGTCATTTGTTAGTCTTCACAGGGTCGCAAGACAAATTGTAGTTCTTCAGTGTACCTTCATGATAATTTTTCTAGTTAAGTGGCATTTTAGCTCTGCAATCATTGTTTCGAAGTTTCCTAATTAGCACCAAAATGCTATATTGAAGAATTATAGGATAGATTAGATATTAGATTAGATTAGATTAGATTAAGTTTTATGCAATAGGGTTTTAATGAAAGAGCACAATATCATTGGTGATCCCCTGCACTGCTTTTGGCATGCAGTCATTTTAGTGTTTGCCCCAAATAATTTCAAACCAATTTTGCAAGTCATGAAGGCAACTGGGAAATATTTACTGTTTACTACCTACATGTAAATAAAGCAAAAAAGCACTTTAGTGCCCATTAATCAACTGGCAAAAAATGTTTCACAAAGGCAGCTCAGATGAACTGTATCTTTCCCAAGGACTAGTTTGGGCAAAACACACAACAAGAAAGCCTCGCACCCACCTAACGAGTGGAAAGCCAACTGCAACTCAGCAGCTTCATCAAATATCTTCCAGGATCTACAAAAGCTGCTCAGAGTGCTTTGCACAAATGCTAAACTGCTGGTGCCTGCAAAGGAGCCTCCTCTTGCCCTACCCAGGCTCCACTTTACACCCCCCTGCTGTCATTCCAGCCAGCTGTCCAGGCGTTCTCTGTGGATGGGCCGCTTCAAGGCCCGTGGTGCTCCCTCTTTTTCTGGCTCTGTGTCATCATGCTGGAAGTGAACTGGAACCAGCTCCTCAAACACAGGGCTGTCCTCTGCAAAGGAGAACACTTGGCCTCCCTATCCAGGTGGCAGAGCTCAAAACAACAAGGACATCACGGCCTCCAGGAGAAGGGTCAGCACCTCCTTCCCCTGTGAAATCCCTATTTTTGCCTTCTTAGGATGCCAATACAATATTGCTTGGATTGCCACTCCTCAGAATTCTGCACACTCCCAGGGGCATCAGGTGCCTTTTCATGTCTTGGTAGGGGTCAACTTAAACTGGATAACGGGGGAATGTTTTATTTGAGAGGTTTTGAAGGTTTTTCTTTAAGGTCTAGCATCGTATTACCTTTCCGATTCATGCAGGACAGGCCAGAAGAGAACAATGAAATGAGGATTTGACAGGTGGCCAGACCTGTCAGCAGCATGTAACTGGCAGGGAAGAGGGCGTGGGGCAGTCACTCTCCTTGTGCCCCTGTATTTGTGCCATCACGCACTGGGTGTATCTGCAGGTCAAGCTAACAATCGTGAACAACAAGTCCTGGTGAGCTGGTAGTTGTGTGAACAACCCATGCTGAGCCTGATGGATGATTGGGTTCATTTTGGTTTGTTGGCCCCACTTGGGCTTTTTGACCACCAATCTGCCTGGAGCTGTCAGGTAGGGAACTGCAAATGGCACTTTGACGGCTGGCTTTCCTGATCTCACAGAATCATAGAACAGTAGAGTTGGAAGGGGCCCTGAAGGCCATCAGGTCCAACCCCCTGCTGTTACACCATCCCGCTCAGGTGGCTGTCCAGTCTCTCTCTGAATGTCTCTAGTGTGGGAGAGCCCATCTTCTCCCTAGGCAGCTCATTCCACTGCCGTATTGCTCTGACTGTGAGGAAGCTCTTCCTGGTGTCCAGCCTGAATCTGGGTGGTCGCAACTTGAATTGATTCATCCGTGTCCTGGCATCAGTGAGAAGAGAGCTGGACTTTTCTCTTTGTGACAGCCTTTGAGGTATTTATAGAGGGTTAAGAAAGGGGTAAAAAAGCTGCACTGGGGCTGAAGTGTCTCACAATTGTAGTGGGAGGGGGAGCTAGAGCCAGCTCTCCCCAGGTGCCACTTGGGCATTTCTGAGCAACTGGCAGAAGCAGTAGCCTAAATATCCGATGGCAGGAGCAGCAAGGGCTTATTGCCACTCCGGCCATGGGACTTGCTCACTGATTGCTGGCACCCACAATACTATCAGTTCTCTGGGTTTCAATGGCTTGACAACCTGTTGCAAGCCCAACTCCTAGAACAGCCCATGAGTAGTTGAGATGATGTTTTCCTCACACACAAGCCACCCGTGAAAGTCAATCTGACTTTGAGGGGCTATGACATCATGCAAACTCAGCCACTGCCCTAGTCGCAGAATTTAACAGAATCCCAGATAAAATCACCCGCCTTTGTTTTCCCACTGCTTCCCCCAACTTGTTTCTTTCCAAAACAACAACACATGGAATAGTTGCATTAGGAGTCCTCCATCCAGAAGCACCCTGAAACAAGTTCTTAAAATTTGCCTGGGAAGCTCTCATGCAAATACAACTCTGCTTCTGGGGAGGATTATAATGAAGTGGGGGAGGAAAAATGGGCAAATAAAGGAAGGAGGGAAGGGAAAGGGAAAGAAAGGAAAAGGAAAAGGTTACAGGCCAGAAGCTATTGTAATCATTAAGGTCTTCTGTAAATACCCCACTGAAGGCAGGAAGCAATCTCTTTTGAAAAAAAACAGCAGTTTGGTTTTCCTCCTAGGGTGCTTCCAGATGGAGGGCTCCTGGTGCTAGTAAAAGATACTGGTCAGCAATTCCATCTTCTTTTCCTTAACAGATTATGTGCAGCAAGAAAAAATGGAAGAAGTGGTGGGAACACACAAGAAGGCTATGAATGAAAAACAAG